ATTACTAACAATTTTCTGCATTTTAGCAGCATCCATTGTGATTTCACATTTTTTCATGTCTAATTGCACTGATGTGAGTCTTTTTTTCTTTTTTCTTTTTTTTTGTAATGGGGATAGAACTTGGAACCTTGTGCTTGCAAGGCAGGCAGCAGAACCACTGAGCTAAATCCTGGGCCTCGGTGTGAGTCTTTTCTTTCCTTCTTTTGTTAAGTTTGGCTAAAGGCTTGTCTATTTTGTTTATTCTTTCAAAGAACCTGCTCTTCAATTCACTGATTCTATTTTTTTAGTCTCAATTTTGTTAATTTCTCGTCTGATCTTTATGATTGCCCTTCTTGTACTAGGTTTGGGCTTGGGCTATTTTTATTTTATTTTTATTTTTCTTGTATCTTGAGGTGCATCATTAGGTTGTTTATTTTTAGCTAAGTCTGTTTTGTATCGTGAACATTCAAAGCAATAAACTTCCCTATTAGGACTACTTTCATTGTGTCCTATAGGTTCTGGTATGTTATACTGGCACTATCATTTGATTCTAGGAATTGTTTTTATTTCTTCCTTGATTTCTTCTGTGACAAACTTAGTGTTTAGGAGTGTGTTATTTAATTTCCAGATGTTTGCAAAATATCCGTACTTTCTGTGCAATTGATTTCTAGTTTCAGTGCACTACGAAGTGAGGTGGACCAAAATTTGAGGGATATGTATTTACAATTGTTATTTCTTCCCATTAAAATTTTCTCTTAATATGTAGTTTGTCTCTTATAATCAGTTTTAGTTTGAAGTTTACTTTGTCTGAGAATAAAATTGCTATCCTTGCTTGCTTTCGGGATCTTGGTGCATGGAATATTTTTTCCATCCTTTGATTTGTAGTCCGTGAATTACTTTTTAAATTAGCTTAGTCCTTGGACTGTAACAGAAAGTTGGGTTCTGTTTTTTCGATTCAGTCTGCCAATCTGGGTCTTTTCTTTGAAGATTTGAGGCCATTCACTTTGAGAATTGTTACCAGGAGGCATTGATTTATTTCTTCATTACATTCTTTGTCTGTTGGTGATTCATTTTCACCTTTTTGTTTAACTGCTTGCTTTGCTTGACATATTCATTCCATTTAACTTTTTTACTTTGTTGGCTTCATTGTCTCAATTTAGGTTTGTTTGTTTGTTTGGTAGGGGGGATTGAACTCAGGACCTTGCACTTATGAGGCAGTTGGCAGCACCACAGTTAAATCCTCAGTCTGGGATATTCTTGATTATTTTTTGAATTGCTGTTTTGGTGTTCATGAATCTCTTAATATGGCCTTTGTTGTGAAATGTCTTTATTTCTCCATGAATGTTAGCCTGGGATGGAAACTGATTTCTCTTAGGGCCTGAAGTGCTTTACTCCAAGATCTCCTGGTCTTTAAAGTTTGTGTTGAAAAGTCTGCTGTAATCCTAATGGGTTTACTTTGTTTTTGGTAATGGGGATTGAACTCAGGACCTTGTGCTTGCAAGCTAATGGGTTTACTTTTATAAGTAATTCTTTTATTTTTCTTTGATAGCTTTTAAGGTTCTGTCCAAGTGTTAGACTTCTGAGATTTTTGACCATGGTGTGTCATAGGAAGCTTCTTTTTTTCATTGTAGTTATTTGGCATCCTGTAAGCCTTGCATACCTGTATTCTGAGTTCTTTCCCCATACTTGGGTTTCTGCTATGATTTCTGTAAAAATGTTTTTATTCCATGTGTGCTATCCTCTAATTTCAATCTAACACTAGGTAGCCTGAGCTTACTCTTCTGAGTGTCATCTAATAGCTGTTGGATGCATTTTTCTTGCTGTTTTATTGTTTAAGGCTTCTCCGTATTTGTATTTGTATCATGTATTTGTATTTTGTCCATGACTTCTGAAACCCTATGTTCACATAGCCACTTCTGCTGTTTTAGAATTCAATAGAATTCTCTATCTTTGGGATTTCTATTTGGTACCATTTTATGGAGTCCATTTGTTTGGTAAATTTGTCATTCATGTTTTTAACTGTTTTGGTCAGCTCTCTCAATTTTTTCTTTGTTTCTCCCCTAACCCCTGGGTCAGTTTGTTTCATAGCTCTACTGCAGACAGCTAACTTTGTTACAAAGCAGTTGGACAGGGCTGGGGCCTCAGTATAAAAAAACAACCGAGGCACATTCACTAAAGGTCAACATTGAAAAGAGAAACTACTATAACCACACACTTCCCCTAGGGATGAATAGCATTGACTGCTGTTCTAAATAGTCAACAATCACCTTAATTGCAGACCAAACCATGCCTAGCTATCCCATTCCTTCCAAGAAGTCAATGTACCTTGCTATGTGACTAGCTTTCCCATTTGATCTGCATTTCATCAGTATTACCTGGGTGACTGACCGTGTAATCTCATTGGTTGACCATGGTTTTGTCCCACCTCACGATTTTCCACTGGATCTTGTAGTTTTATCCCACCTTGTACCTGCCTCACTTCGTGGCTTTGCACCATAAAACACCTTTGAGAAATGAGATGGGCCATGCAACCCACTTTGCTGTCCACTTTCTCTCATCGATAGAAGCCACCTTTCAATAAATTGTTCCTACTCTTAACCTCCATTGTTCCTAGAATTCATTTTTTTCTTTTAGAGAACATAATCTCAGTATTTCAGATATCTAGCAGTTTGAGAGTTGTATTTCCCATTTGGATTATTTTGCTTATTTTGATTACTCAGTGCCCTATATCACTTCTGCTATCTTTTGGGTTGTGTCCTCTTTAAATTTTCTGAGTTTCTTTGTTTCCTCTTTAATCATGTCATATAGCTCAGTTATCTGATATTTGAGTTCCTCTCCATCAGTGCCCCTTGGGTCTGCCTTTGGAGAGTTGGAAGCCTATGGAGGCATTTTGTTGCCTTGATTTTTTTTTTTCGTTTCTATTTTTTCTGTGTGCTGAGGGTTGAGATCAAATAGCAAACAATGTGTTGTTTATATGAATATCTTTTTAGTTGGGTTCTGGTTTTTCAGAGATGAGTGTGTGTGTGTGTGTGTGTGTGGTACCAGGGATCAAACTTGGGACTTTGTGCTTGCAAGGCAGGTGGTGGAACCACTGAGCTCAATCTCCAGTCCTAGCTTTATTTGTTAAGGAGTGCTGTTTATTGCTTCAGTCTATTCAACTTAATTGGGTTGGACCCAGTCTGTCACTCTGTTGTAAGGAAAGAATTTATACTGGATATAATAGCATCAACAGACCCAGCCACACATCCATCATAACCATTAAAACTTGTTTTGATAGTTTTTCCCTTCTGCCAGTACCTCTTACTGAGTATATAGTACTGCTGTTTGTGGTTCATTTGGGCTGTGGAGGTTGGGAGGAAGGACAGAAGGGGAAAAGGAAGAGGGTATGTCAACGGAAAGAATAGACAGGAGGCTGGGCTCTGTTGGAATTGCTTTTATAGCTGGGGTAAAGGGCTGGTGTTTAGGAGTTTGAGAGAGTATTGATGTAGGCCGAGGGAGGTATGCAGATGGGTGGGAGTTTATTTAGAGACTGAGGGAAGCTGTGAGATTGTCAGAACCTGTTCGTATATTTGTAGGTAGTTTTGTTTGGATCTTCTAAGCCCAGTTTTGTTAAGGATTTCCCTGCCATGCTCTTGAATGGTATGCGTAACTCATCACAGGCATCTTTGTGTCTTCCCTCCCTAGGCTTTCCTTGCCTAAGATGTGTTCACAGTTCTCCCTTCCCAGAGGTCTGTCTGTCTCAGCCCCACTTACAGAACCTAGTGTCACCTCCAGGCTCAGCTAAGGACCCATCCCCTTGGCCAATGTGAGATGCTGGTCAGGACCTCACACTCACCCAGGCCTTTCCACTGTTTAGGACACAATAGGAAAGCACCTGTTCTGTTCTGTCTCCACCGAATCACCCTGATCTTGGCACCAGATTCTGTCTTGGCTCTCACAGTTTTCCCTCTCTCTACTCTGCATTGTTTTTGTTTTTTTTTTGGTACTGGGGATCAAACTCGGGTCCTTGCTCTTGCAAAGCAGGTGCCGCAATCTACTCTGCATTCTAGTTGCTATCTTGAGTCTCCCTGCTTTCTGCAGCCCCCAGGTAAGGAGTGCTGAGGGCCCCGCATAAGAACCCTAGCTGACTTCTTGTTTCTGTGTTGAGCAAGCCTCTCCTCGCCCCGCAGTACCCTTGCTGGTTCTAGAGTACTTTTGTTCACGAGCACCCTACTGGTCACCAGTGCTAGAGCCTGTTGTTTACAGGATATGGGTGTGTGGATTTGTTCTGCCCCATTCTGCTTTGGGCTTCTATGGTTAGGTCTCACTCCCTGTGTGTGACAGGGAGGTTAGGGTGTTTGTGAGTCTGCTCCATCAACCAGACAGTCACTGAAGGGCCGGCTCCCTCCCTCTGTCCAGTCCTCTCCCAGGGTGGTATGTCTGGAGTGGAAGATGAGGTGCCATGACCTAGGAATGCTCTTTTCCTCTAACTCAGTGGTGGTGAACCTATGGCACACGTGCCACAGCCTGCACTCAGAGCCCTCCATGTGGGCACAGAAGCTGAGTTACCCCAGCACCAACCCCGCAGCTGAACATCAGATGACAGCGCACAAAGGGGCCATGCACAAGCTGGGAAAACTTTAAGTGTGGCCATAACATAACAAGCCACGATTCGCTAGCTGCAAGTCACCCAAGCTTTCACCGGCCATCAGTGTGGGCACTTTGTGATAAGTGGGTTCGGGGTTGCATTTTGGGCTCCTGGTCTCGAAAAGTTTTGCCATCACTGCCCTAAACACTGGGTTTTATAATCCAGCTATTATTTTCTTTTCATTTATCCTCCTGCATCAGACCTTACCCTTTGCCCCCACCTCAGGGCATCTGCTTTTCTCCAGCCCAGTTCTGAGACCCTCACCCTTGCTGTTACGCCATAGGCAGCCACCTTTTCTGGACGAACTTCGAAGACTTTACACTGATCAGCCAGTTACAGAAGAACACATACTGTGTATTTCCCTTATATGAGGCTCCAAGAGAGAATAGTGCGATTGTCGGAGACAGAAAGTCGGATGTGGCCGTGGGGTCTGGGAGCAGGAGGAGGGGAGTCGGTGCTTCATAGAGACTGTTTCAGCTGGGTTATGAAAAGTTCCGGAAATGGATGACGGCGATGGTTGCACAATAATGTGGATCCACATAGTCACGCCGAAGGCACACTTCCTAAAGGGTTAGAACATTAACATCTGCGTCTTCAACCACAGTGAAGAGTCGGGCAGAGTGAGGACACGCAGCCCAAAGGCAGAAAGGAGCACACTCTTCCCCTTCCCTTCTCCCAGGGAAGAAGTGTCAGAACAGTTCTCATGGCTGTGTCTAGATGTTCCCTAAGCTTCATGCAATCATAGTGGGGCTTTTTCAGAGGCAGCTGGACCTAGAGTGTGGGATACTGGAATTGATTCATGGTGCAATGCCAGGATGAAGGGCACAGGTGCTGGGTATTTTGTCTCAGCAACAAGAAAAGTAACTACACAACAGTGATTCCAGTGTCCCGTGATTTGCTGGCACCTTGGTGGGGAAAGGAGCTCAGCCATAGTGGGTGCTCCTCCCCTCCACTCAGAAATTGCTCCTGCAGGACCAGTGAGAGCAGCCTGGACTTGCACTGGCATCTGAATAACTGCCCTGGGGGTGGACTTATCTGCCTGGCTGCTACGTCCTTGGGACGCAGCCTGTGTTCCGAGACATTCTTGGAAGTGCTTGAAGACTCAGTGTGAAACACAGAAAAAGAGAGACTACATTACTGCCGTTTTATGTGTTGCAGTGGTAGCATTTGGCATTAACTTTCTCCTTTCTACAAAAAGATTGGGGATTCTTGGACTAGAGGTTGGCCTTGGGTGAGGACTTGCCTTTTGTCCAGCTTGGGTATGTTTAGGCCGGGAAGCAGAAGAGGTTTGGATACGAGGGACGTCTGCTTACCTGGGTTAAGGTGGCCATTGTTCAGGGCCAGGCTCCTCCTGCCCAGCACCTAGGAAGCTTCCTGTAGCACTTGGGTCTGTCTGCGTCCACGGTGACTGTCTACTCCAGTGGCACACAGCTGCCTTCCTGTCTTCCGTGGAGCTCCGACGCAGCTTGGTGTCAGTGTCTGATTTACGTGACCTAAATCAGAGTCTACTGTTGAAGATGAAAAGACCCTTAGAGAGGCACCTCAAGCCACCCCATTTGTGCAAAAAAAAAAAAAGTCAAGACTAAACTGGCCACGGAGTGACTGAGACACTGTCATTCCTCCTACCCTTCCAAGTCACTACAGAAATCTGGTAACGTCAGGCTGAGGTGAGGGCCCAGCTAACGCGGGCCGTGTGGCAGGACGTGCCCTAAGGGTCGGGATAGGTGCGCACTGTGCAGCGATGCTGACCGGGGGAGCTAAGTCCCTCCTCCCGCTCCTCAGCTCTGTGTGCCTGGGCCTCACGCCGGAAGCCCACCCAGGTCCGAACCGTCAGTGCCCAGTGACGTCTGGCTCCTGCGCAGGTGAGAGCGGAACCATGACCCCGAGGCCATGACCTGTCAGCTCCTTCCCTGGCCAGCTCCTCCGTCTGCAGAAATGTGTACTGTCCCCCAGTGTCCTAAATCACAGGTGCCAGGAGCAGGTTCTTATTTGTCAGTTCCTGCCACAGCGCCAGGGAGCAAAACCCACTGGCTTTCTTACCCTCGCTGCTTATCCACCTTGCTTTTCAGCGTTGCAAGTGGACCCCAAGTCATTTCAAGTGTATGACTGCTTTCTGAGCCAAGGCGTCCTGATCCCCAGAGCTCACGTGTGCACCTGAAGAGCGTAGAACAACTTAATTACGACAACGCACGGAGCAGCCTCAATTCTTTTTAGTATTTTATTGCTGATCTCATTTCTCCCCATTCTATATTATTTACTCAGCTGATTAGATTTAATGAGCACCTGGAGAGCAATTTGGCAAAATGTTAGAGGAATTCACGGCCCAGGAAATGGGGAAAAGATCCTGTTAGCACTCGAGAGAGATTGTGTTCAGGTGGCCTCCCTCCAGGAACTGCACCTGATGTCGCCTCCGTGCTCGGGAAGGAGCAGCAGCCACGTGCTCCCAGGGACTGCCACGCCTGGGCCAGAGCCGCTGAGGACGGCACTTGGACACCCCCATGCTGCTTTTCCTTCCTTTTTTTTTTTTTGGCAATGCTGGGGATTGAAGCCGGGGCTTTACGCTCCCCAGGTAAGTTCTCTACCACCGAGCTAGGAGGTGTGATCAACAACTACAGTGAATACTGGAACTTAAAAAAATTACCACAGTAAAAGACACACTGCCATCCGTCTCCCTCGAAATACTTCCCCCTCGCTGTCACCACACTTATTCCATCCTTCTTGTCACTTTCTGAAGCAGCTCTGGAAATCCTCTTTTGTGCCTTTAGTTGTGCTCTTGTGGCTGCCTCGATGGTCTAAATGGATTCAAAACATTTACCTTCCGTGGTCATTTTGACTTTGAGAAAGAGCCAGAAGTCATATGGATCCAGATCCAGTGAGTAAAGTCAACGAGGACACACTGTGATGTTTTTATGTGACATAAACTTTTGAAATTGATTCAGAACATTGAGCCAGCCACAAAAACAGTGCCGAAAGAGGACCTCCAGAACTGCCTCACAAAGTGGCCAGGAAAATGGGACAAATGTGTTTGGAACGAGAGGGAGCATTTTGAGAGGTATTAATGTGTCTTTTATTATAATAAATTTTTAAATGTAAACATTCACTATTTTTAGATCATATCTTATATATACCCAGCCTTGGACCCCTCTTTTCGTTTTGTTTTTTTGGTACCAGGGATCGAACTCAGGTCCTTGCGTTTGAAAGGCAGGCGGCAGAACCACTGAGCTAACTCCCTGGCCCTGGAACCCTTTTGATTCTCTCAATAAGTGCATAATACCAAAGGCTTTACTGCAAAGTCCTTAGATGTTTTCCACAGCGTGACATGTGGGCGGGGAGCTGAGCAGAGGGACAAGGAAGAGAAAGCCATGAGGTTCATGTCTTCCGGACCAACATCAACCCTGTTGTCTCTACCCACTGGGTTCCAGCACTGCCTGCTCCCCTGTGCGCATCCCCAGTGGTCACACAAACCGTTTAAAAATGCAGTGCTCACTTCAGAAGGTGGTGAGGCAAAGGAGGAGGGGCCACAGCCTCAGCCACCTGAAGAGGACAAAGGACGGAGGCACGAATGTTCTTGGAGATGCATTCATGTGACAGGGACAGGAACGCAGCTCTCTAGCCTGCAGTCAGGGCTACTTCAAACTGGGCTGGCCCCTGCTTCGGTAACTAGTGGGCAGTCACCCTTTGACAGGGCTTCTTTTGCCATCAGCAGGTCCTGCCCCTCACAGGCACTGCAGTAGGACTGCCTGCCCCCATCCAGGGTTGCTCTCGGGGTCTCAGTCTTCACCCTCTGCACACAGGGGCACACCCTAGCCTCGGAACCTGTTTCTAACACTGGCATCGCCTCAGTCAAAGGGATGTGGTTCAAAATCCCGTGTAACACTGGCTTTGAAGAGTACTGGCATCTGTGCCTTGCTGTGTGTGCACCCTGTAAACAGTGCAGGTCAACTTAGGAAAATCAGTCTGCAGGGGCAGCCCTGAAGTGGCCCCAGGTGACACGAATCAGTAAGGACTTCTCACACCACACGTGTCAGGCTGATGGCTGTTCTTACCTCGATCACCGTCTCTACTGCTGCTCACATACGCTCAGCTCTCACACAGCTCACCGTCCGGGGGAGAAGGGCACCTCCAGTGTGGGCCGTCTGAGAAGTCCTCGAAATGTCGCTGCGTCACCAACAGGGTCCACAACGAGCCCAACACTGGCCGTCGGGAGTCCCCAGAGGTGACTCTGTCACGGACTGTTCACTGTGAGGCGCAGCCACCGGCTCCACAAAGCCACGGAGGATGTCTCCCACCCCCTGCCTTCGTTACTGACCAGGCCACGCCTGTCTGAGCAGCCAGGCTGGGCCTCACTAGATCTGTGACCCGGGAGTCTGTGCTCCTCAGTGTCCAGGCCACACTTTGAGAAACAACCGACTTGCCTCTGAGGCTTGGTGAAGGCTGGATACTGGCACACTCACAGTGGGAAGGAAGAGCAAGAGTTTGAGGCAAGGTGAGGGGTTTCACTGAGCTGCTTGGGGGTCACCCACAGAGCTTTGGGAGCATGGTGACCCAACCCCACCAGGACCGTGGGGCCCCGGCCCTGCCGCAGTGATAAAGGGATTCCGAAACGCTGGCTGTTAGGTGACTGAGGAGGTGCGGACCAGGCTCAGGCCCCAGGCACAGGTGTGGTGAGGCCATGTGCTTGCTCCCTGCTAGGCCGTGTGTGTCTGTGTGCCTGTGTGTGCAGGCATCTGAAAATGTGCTTGGATCACAACTCACGCTGGACGATAATATGTTAAACAACAATAAAGCTGAGTCATTCTTAAAACATGGAGTCGTGATTCTCAAAGTCACGGCATCAGCAAGACTTCCACGTGACTCTGGTGCAGGCTAAAGACCAAAGACCATAGGCGTGGACTCCAATTATAGAGCAATAACCCTATTTAAAAGGTGGAAACAGCTTTGTCCCTCAGGGTGTGGGTGCAGAAACAGCTGTGGGTCCTGGTCACTGAGGCCCTGGCATATGGCTGATTGGGAAGGCCAACCTCTCATGTATTCGCTTAGCCAATGACCCACTCCTCACTGAACGATAAGCAATAGGTCACAGGTAGCTTGCAATGAATGGACTGTTTTGGGGCTCAGTGTCTACCTCCAGTAAGGCCAAAAATAGCTGGGGAAAGTTTGGGGTCATATGTGGCTCCTGGTTCAGCAGGGCAGGGTGTGGCTCCTAGAAGGGGCCACAGAATGGCAGAGCTTGAACCTGTAATCCCCTGCCTCGGTCCCAGAGCACTGGGATTACAGGTGTGTGTCTGGCTGCCGCCTCACACTTCTCTCCTCACCATTCACTTGGCAAAAGACACCGGGTGAATATAAAGCCACTCTTGCCAAGGTCACCATAAAACTCCACGTTTCCAAATCTGGCCTCTGTGACTTCCTATGGGCTAAATTGACAGTGGTGAAGTCTTCATCTCCATGTGTTTAGAGGGGTCTGCTGAGCTCCAGGCTCGTGTGCTGCTTGTCCCATCACCTCACAGGCACCTGAGGTTACGGGAGAAGCCTGCTCTCCCGGGCTTGTTTCCACCTGGATTTCTTCATCTCAGGGAGTGTGATCATCATCCACGCAGGAAGTTGCTCCTGCTGGAAACTGGGATCTTGGTCAACTCACCTGACTCCTCTCCCTGTACCACCTACCAGTAAAAGACACATTGCCATTAATTCCCATCAAAATACTTTGAACACACTCAGCAAGCATGACTTCCATACCTATTTCAGAAAGTGGCAAGAACACTGGAGTGAGTTCTAAGCCAGGGGGAGAATTATGAAGGGAATTAATGGCAATGTCTTTTATTATAATAAACTTCAAACACTATTTCTTGATCAGCCCCTACATATCCAACAAAGGGCTGCATTTAAAGTGCCCGAGGAAGTACATGAGTGCCCTCTGGGCCCTACTGGGCCAGCAGAGCTGCGTTGGCAGCTGGCTCAGATTGCTTTGTGTTTTAAAGCAAGAACAAAAAAGAGGTGGCCTCACTTCCTCCATCCCTCCAAACAAAGGACAAGCCCTGAGTGCTTCGAGGTAGGGGGCGAGCGCCCCCTGGTGGTCCAGTTGGCTCTTAGCTGCACAATCCTTGTGTAGACGCAGAAAGAAATCAAGGCCACTCAGGCAGGGGTTCGCCAGAGAAGTAGGCTTTGCCAGCAGAAACTCAGCTAATATAAAGTCCTCAGTGATCCTTCCAAGTAAGCTCTTCAAAATAAAACCCGCAGGATGGCTAAAGACAGCACCTCATATTTTCTTCTAGTCCTATTTTACAGAGTAAGCCAATGAGTTACAATGCTTCAAAACACACGTGTGAGGAAATCCCACAATAAAATAACTGCTCATATCCTACATGGGGCAGGACCCGGGGATAAGAGGCTATGGTCTGCGGGACTGGCCATTGTGGTCCATGTCCACAGTGTGCCACAGGACTCCAGTGCAGCTTCCCAATGTTCTTTTTCCTGAAGAGCCCCTTGGGGACAGAGTTCCCCAATGACAGAGCAAGTCAAACCTTGGCCTACTGCCATTTAGTCCTGTGCTGCCCAATACGGCAACCACTGACCACTGAAGCCATAGGACCCCTGAGGCGCAAACTGTACATCAGACCTCAAAGACCCTGTGTGGAAAAGAATGAAAACTGTTTTTACATTGACTATATATTGAAATGATCATAGTTCAAACATGCTCAGTCAAATAAAATCCTTCAAAATCAATTTCACCTGTTTTCTTTTATGGTTTATAGTGGTTACCAGGATGTTTACAATCCTACACATGGTTCACACTGCATTTCCACAGGTTGGTGCTGAGTAGAACCTACAGAGGATGGCTAAAACTTGTGACTGGGTTTATGGATAATTGGGCCCATGGGGCACGGCAGATAGAGTCTAGGAGGGAGGGAAAGAGCTCAGCCCTTGGTCCGTTAATAATTGGCCTGCCTGTAGAGTCCTGATCGGGACAAAAGGGGCCCTGTCCTCCCAGGTGGGGTCCACTTTCCCTGTGACTTATTCAACTTCTGCTCACCCATGACCTGCTACACAGGATGGGAGTTTTCTCTGCACCATTCAGAATCTGTCGATTGTATCAATGGCCTGCTGATAGCTGGCTGCAGATG